GTAGCACAGTCTAGGAAGGGCATTTCCCTTTGTCAGAGGAAGTATGCACTGGATATCTTAGATAAGACTGGTATGTTGGGATGTAAACCCATTGATACACCTATGGATCCTAATATTAAGTTATTACCTGGACAGGGGGAGCCATTGGCAGACCTTGGTCGTTACCGCCGACTAGTTGGAAAGTTGAACTATCTTACTGTGACAAGACCAGACATCTCTTTTTCAGTTAGTGTGGCAAGTCAATTTCTTGACTCTCCTTGTGACTCTCATTGAGATGCAGTTATCAGGATTCTTCGATATATCAAAAAGGCACCAGGAAGAGGTTTATTATACACTAATAAGGGGAATGCAGAAGTGTCTAGCTATTCAGATGCTGACTGGGCAGGTTCTCCTTCAGACAGACGATCCACCTCGGGGTATTGTGTTCTCCTCAGAGGAAATTTGATCTCTTGGAAGAGTAAGAAGCAAACTGTGGTTGCCAGATCAAGTGCAGAGGCAGAATATCGGGCCGTGGGAAATGCGACATGTGAGCTCATCTGGCTAAAGCAATTGTTAAGGAATTACATCTCTGTGAACAACGGCCCATGAAACTCTTTTGTGACAATCAAGCCGCATTGCACATATCCTCTAACCCAGTCTTTCATGAGAGGACTAAACATATAGAAATTGATTGTCACTTTGTTAGAGAGAAGATTCAGTCAGGCGAGATCGAGACAGCATTTGTCAGTTCCAGTGATCAACTTGCAGATGTTTTCACCAAGGCTCTTAGAGGTCCCCGAATAGATCATATATGTAACAAGCTGGGTGCTTATGATATATACGCACCAGCTTGAGGGGGAGTGTTAGAAATAATATTAGTTTTATTATTATTAGTTTATTATTCTAGAAGGTTATTTGGGCTTAGCCCATTAGGTTATTTAACCTCTTTAAATAAAGGACTCTTGTACAGTTTTATACAATTGAATACAATACATTGATACATTATAATTAAAACTAAGCCCAAGGTTCTATGGTCCTTTTGAGGTGGCAGAGAAGATAGGCCCAGTGGCTTATAAATTGAAACTTCCAGATTACTCCCGAGTGCATTCAGTTTTTCATGTTTCGCAATTAAAAAAAGCTATTAATCTGGGAGTACAGGTGTTGTCTCTGCCCAGGTGTTTAACTGAATCTCTTGAGCTGCAGGTCCATCCAAGTGCCATTAGGGATGCCAGAAGACTGTTGAATGGAAAGATTGAGGTGCTAGTCCAATGGGCTAATTTGCCAGATTGTGAGTGATCTTGGGAATCTGTGGAGGAGCTGCAGGAACTCTTCCCAGATCTTCACCTTGAGGACAAGGTGAATGTTAAGGAGGGAGGTGTTGTTGGGCCACTGATGAACATATATCAACGTAAGAAAAAGAAGAATAAACTGGTTATGGGTCAAGATGTGAGGCCCATAGAATTTGTTATAAGGGATGACACGTGGAAGGTTCTGAATGGAGAGGATTTGGTGGGTGGAAATATTGGAGGGGAATCTGTTATAGAGGAGGGAAGGGAGAGAGAGGAGGGCAGTTAGGACGTATGCAGCATGGTATGGTTGGGGTAGCTTGATGGGGAGTGGGGTTGTTCTTCGTCATTGAGTCTGTTCTATGTTGGAGGTGCTGGTAGAGTAGCTGCGTATTTTGTCAATCATCTTTCATTAATGTGTCTCTGAGTCTGTTGCTTACTGTTTCATTGTCTTGTGAGAAGAATTGGAGTTTGTAAGAAGGGGTTTTCCCATTATATACAATATATTTGCTGTGTTCCTTATTGCCAGTACCATCAGTCACCAAAATGTTCTTGATTATAAAACAAGGATAAAGATTAAGACAACAAAACAATTTGCATGATCCGAAGGTATTTGACATTTTGTTGGCACTCATAACATAAAGTGTTTAGTGGTCATTTACACGTGAAATTTCGTTTGGCCTATAGGAAATATAGTTTTAAATTTAATACAAGTATACAACAAAATAACCAATTCTTCACCTACTAGGTGGGAGCTAGGTTGTCATACTTGAGATCTTATCTAAAGATCTGAGGGGGGTGACAAAATTGTAAATTGTAGAATCGACACTGATTGTAAGATCTTATATTCCTAATTTTAATTATATAATAATAGTATTTATGCTTATAAAATAACATTTAAATTATAACTTCATGAATATAAAAGACATCAAATATATGTACCAAAAAAAAAGACAACAAATATAAGAGAGTTTAAATATAAAAGACAATTCCAACCCATTATCAAATTCAAATAGTTCAACTCACAATCTAACAAAAGCCCAAAAACCTAAACGAAAGATTCAAATATAATTTATCAAATCATTTAAGTCTTAATCATCTCTTGTGTGGCATCTTCATCTCCTTCTTAAGCAAGTTCTTCATCAAATCTCAGTAACTCCAAATCATCTACAGTTCAACCAAGTCTTCTTCATTTTGTGTCAAACTCAAGTTGTCTTAGATGAAATTTCATCCTTTTTCACAATCCAATAATCATCGAATGAAATGCCATCAACATTATAGTCTTCAAGAGTTTTTCTAGCCACCTCCTTCTTGGTCAATCTTGAATAAGCCATCACAAAAACAACATCATTCATGGTCTTTTGCTCCAAACAATTTCTTCTCTTTGTGTGGACCTAAGCAAATACAAAAGCAATTAATATAAAATTCATATTTTTGAAATAAAATACAATTCATTTTTTATATTCTTGAAATTTTACCATCTCAAAGGCACTCCATTTTTGCTCATACCCATAGGAACTGCATGTCAAGCCCAATACACGAATAGCAAATTTTTGGAGCTCTAGACTTTCATTCCCATGAGACTTTTACCATTTGATGGAGTTTTTTTTTTAAATGCTACCTTGGCTACTAAACTACCAAAAAAATTTCATTAGTCGAGGTGGGGAATTTGAAATATTGAAGTTAAACGTGGATTATATGAATGTTTAGAAATGATGGTACGGAATATTGAAAAAATAGATTGATGGTCAACTTGAAGATTTCAAGAGTCAATCGAACTTTTTTGGTAGTTTAATAGCCGATGTTGCACTTAAAAATAAAAGTCCATCACAATAGTGGAGAGTCTTATGGGGATGAACATTTAGAACTCCAAAAATTTGCTATTCGTGTATTGGACTTGACATGTAATTCCTTTGGGTGAGTGAAACCGGAGTGCCTTTGTGATTATAAAATTTCAAGTATAAGAAATATGAGTTGTATTTCATTCCAAAAATTTGAATTGTATATTAATGTCTTTTGTATTTGTTTACGTTGACACAAAGAGAAGAAACTGTTAGAAGCAAAAGACAATGAATGATGCTTTTGTGATGACTTAATCAAGATTGGTCAAGAAGAAGAAAGTTAGAAATACTCTATATTATAACGTTTATGATTTTTCATCTGGTGATGATTGAGTTGTGGAAAAATGATGGAAGTTCATCAACTATTCAATACTTAGACATAGATAACTTTGGTTTGGATACTCAAAGCAAAATGAAGAATATTTGGTTGAAGCTATGGATGATTTGGAGTTTCCGAATTTTGATAATAAAACTTGATGGAGAAGGAGAAGATTCGATGCAAGGTAATGGCTGTGATTTGATAGATTAGACTTTGACTCTTTTATTTTGGACTTTTAGTTTTATATGTTGTTGTATAAAACCAATTCAATCCAAAACCTTAAGGTGTTGGGTGATGGACTTTTTAATGGTTTATATTATTCTTTAACACACCCCTCACGCAAGAGTCCTTTGGGTTTGAAGCGTGAATATTGCGCATGCTCAATTTTTTTGGTTTTACCTTGTGCTTATTTAATTCCACTTGAAAGTGGGGGCGGTGAGGATCGAACTCGTAACCTTATGGTCATTGAAGCTTTGATACTATGTAAAGAACCAATTTAACCCAAAAGCTTAAGCTAATTGGTGAAGGCTTTTTAATAGTTTATGCTATTCTCTAACAGTTGTCAAAAACATGTTTGACTTATGTCTTTTTCATAATACACTGGACATGAGACGAATTTTTATTCGTGTTAAAACTTTCAACACGAACACGACACACAATTTTTTGCTGGTTGACACTACACGACACAAATAACCCGCAAATTGAAATTTATGAGTTCTCAATATTGACACGACCCGCTTTTTATGAGGGTTAACATGACACAACACGGAAAACACAATTACAACTAAAATTACAAATTTACAAGGTCAAAATGGGTCAAATTTGTGTTTGTGTTGACAGGCAACACAACACAAATTTTCGAATGTCATATTTTGTCGACACGAACACGACACATTTAAATATGGGTCAACTTGAACATGAATTTTTGTGTCGTGAAGGATTGCCACCCTTATTGCTAACAAGTGGTATCAAAGCCTATGATCAAGTGGTCTATACTCTAGTATTCAATCCTTGCTCCCCTACTGCCCTTATTCTTCTATAAAAAAATGTTAAATTTCAGCACAAGGTAAACCAAAAAGTAGGTCTGTATATTATCCACGCTTTAAAGTCCGAAGGGTTCTACTGTGAGGAGGCATGCCAAGAGATATAATAAAATGAATATGGACAAGGTTGAACTTCACGGGGATTTCATTGATAGGGTTAGAGAGGAGTAGTTAGTTAGTAAGTTAGAATAGTTATGTTTGGGCGGTGAAAGTTGTTAAAGCCAGAGAATTAGTTTAAATAGTATGAGAAGGTAGAAGGTGGAGATTCAGATTTTTTAGCTTGAAAAAAATAGAGCAATGCCTTAGCTGTAAGGAGAACCCTTGTAGGAGATTTCTCTCTTTTTGTTCTTTGTTTGTCATTTGGGAAATCAATACCGAAGGGTTTTTTCTCTTTTAATTGTATTTACAATCTTAACAGAGATTTGAAAATGTCACATGTTTCCTTCTTTGAAGAATTAATGTGTCTATATTCTTGGTTTCTTACCTTTTACTGACTTTGACTTCGATTAATATGTATCCTGAAATGTTTCAGTTACAACAACAAGAAAAAGATGATTTGGAACTTGCTTTTCCTCATTATGTTGGGATTACTTCTAATGAGGTTGGTCCACTAGTCATTTTGTTTCATTTGTGATGAATATATCCTTTCATGTACTTGTTCATTATCTTGTAGTCTTGGAGGCACTATCACAACTTTCATGGCATCATACTGGAACTATCCTAGTGGTTATGCCTTAAAGGAATTGCATGGGATTGGTGAGTTCACGAATCCTGATATGTCCTTGTATTTTCAGCAATTTATTTAGCTAGAATTTGCCTAGAGAAAAAACTGCTCCCTTCTTGCCCCTTAATTTGGTAAAAATATTGAACTTACTGATTCTTTTCGTCATAATCAACTGTGGCAAGTTCTGTTAAATTGTTAACATCTGTTGGAACTGTTGGGTCCTCTAATGAACAAGCAAATATTTTTTTATATGGGTCACGAACCTTGATACTCTGATCACAGTTTCTTGTTCTAAATTTTTTTGTCATGGGGGCTATCTGATTGTTCATATTGTTTGACATTTCTGGATGATATGATGCGTGAATTTGGTTTTTTTTTATTGAGACTCAATCTTTGACTAACATTCCAAGATAAAAGTTGATAATCAGTACCTCTTCAATTGTACTGAACCTGTATCATTGGGGTGCAGGATATTTCTTTTATTCTGTTCTAGAAATAGCCATTTACGTTCTTGTACCTTTCCCTTCTGTAATAGCTTATGTCATAGGTATGTATTGTTCTTGTCATTAATACAGAAAATCCAGTTTGCTGGGCCAAATAGTGTGTTAAATCCTTTTATTATTCAGATCAAAAAACCAGTTCCTAACAATTGGTATCAGAGCTTCCGATCTGGGAGCTCTGTGAACCATGGCCACGCTTGGAAGAAAATCACAAAGAAGCAAAGTTCCCAAGTTCTATGGAGACAGAGAGGATGACGAAGCTTGAGGATGGTTGATCTATTTGCAACAATTTTTCCAGAAAGAAAGAATCAATGAAGATGAGAAGTTGAAGGAAGCTGTGAGAGGGCTTAGAGGGAGTGCTTTCGGCTGGTATCAAAGCTGGAGATGGTGCAATCCTAATGCAAGTTGGAGTGACTTTGAAAAGGCATTAATAGAGAATTATTTACCTGAAATCTGTTTGGTATATGATGCAGAATCTGAGCCTCAAGAGCAACAACAAAAATCTGTTACGGAGGAGACGAAGACCTTGCAAGGAGAACAGAATGGAGGAGAATCAGATGAGGCAAATTGTGTTCCGATAAAAAATTGTGATGAACAGAAAGGGGAAATCCAAAGGAGCTCTCAAGCGACAATGGTTCAAATCTCAAACAAGGAGTTCATAAATTCCACCCAAACAAAAATCATTGTTGAAAACAAAATGGAAAGAATCTGGCAATGGAAAGGGAGATCGAAAAAAGAAAAAAGAAAAAAGAGAGGACACAGGTGTTGTTGCAATGGAAGGCGACGGAAAAGATGACGAACGAGGAGGCTCCTTCCGAGAAGGAGATGACCATGGGTGGGTAAAAAGAGCATGGGAGCCAGCAAGGCCACCGCCACCGTCGGTAGTGGTTGATCCACCCCTTTTGCTAAAGCCACCAGACAAACACCATCGTGAGAGGGAGGGAGAGTTGCTGCAGCGTCATACGAGCAGAACGAAGCATGGCTCAGATCTGGGAGCCATGAACAGAGGAAACCAGAGAAATAAAATGGAGAACAAATTCGAAGCTTCGGAGGAAAGGATGGAGGGATTAGAGGAAATGGTGAGCAGAAGTGAGGAACGCACCAGCAGGTTTGAGGCAAACCAAAGAGAGATTTTAAGGCTCATCAAAAAGCTTAGGCAGAAGCAAACCCAGCGTCATTTAGGCCGTCATTCACGAAGGGGAAGATCTTGTGGAAGAATGAAAGATTCACTCAAAGCTGACGGAACAATTACACAGAGTTCCCAAAAAACAGAGGTGATTTTTACTTCTCGAAAAACTGAGGAAGCAAAATTCGAGGAATTAAAACCAGAATTAGTGATGGAAAGAAAAACTATAATGGATAAGGTGGAGATCGAGGAGGAGAAACAAAAGACCAAAGTCGTTTGGGAAAAGCAAGCGGTGGCTAACAAGGTTATGGTTGACGCACCCCTCCTACTTGAACCATCAGAATCGATGGGGTCTTGGCGTTGCAGTGCTGCACAAGGTTAGCAAGTGGAGAAGACTAGGTCAGAGAATGGGCTAGTAGAATTGGGCCTCTTTGCTTACTTAAAAGGTAAGGCCCATTTTACACTTGAGTTATTCCAACCCTCCCAACTCAAACACAATGGGTTTGTTATAACATTGGGCTTAATTCAGTTTGGCTACTATCCAATGAAAGTGACCAAATTTTTATGGGTGCAATGGGCTTCCGATTTTGAATGGGTTTTGCATCCTTGTGTACCCATTAAAATGCACTTTGGCATGAAATATGCTACAACAGTTATAATTTCCAAACAGCAGAGATGGGGCCATTTTGAATGCTGCCATACGGGTATTCTCAACTTTCTTCCTATTCATCGAGGACTTATACAAAACATTGAAGTGTCAGAAGTTTGTGGTTCAAATGCATTGTTTCAACATTTGGAAGTTAAAGAGATACAATGGGACCCGGGTGGAAGTTGTTGTGCATCATCATACATAAGGAGATCCTTGCAATTCAAGCAATTGGATCCCGGTGGAATTTTTTTTTATTTCTTTTTATTTTAGGGTTGCACCTCACCTTGAGGACAAGGTGAGTGTTTAGGGGGGGAGTATTGTTAGGATACCATCTCTTAAGGAACATTCTAGAATGAAATGTAGAGAATCAATCACTCAAGGCACTCATGCTGAGTCACCAAGGCAGTTAGAGGGGGAATATTCTAGAAGGGAAATTCTGTTAGAGGCAATGAGGTGAGTCACACGTGAAAAATAATAATGCTTTAGTATAAATAGATGAAGAAAAAGGAGGAGAGGAGGCTGGAAAATTGGGACTAGGGCTGGGAAACCAGATTGGGAGAGAATCAGTATCTCTTCAATTGTACTGAACCTGTATCATTGGGGTGTAGGATATTTCTTTTATTCTGTTCTAGAAATAGCCATTTACGTTCTTGTACCTTTCCCTTCTGTAATAGCTTATATCAGAGGTATGTACTGTTCTTGTCATTAATACAGAAAATCCAGTTTGCTGGGCCAAATAGTGTGTTAAATCCTTTTATTATTCAGATCAAAAAACCAGTTCCTAACAGACTCAATCTTTGACTAACATTCCAAGATAAAAGTTGATAATTTTTATATCAATAGGATATCTGGAATAAACTATATGGTTCTTTAGTAGTTTCAGCAAAAGAAATTTCAGAGGTAGCTTAAATAATGATATAGGTGAAACACATGGTTTTCAGCGCAAGATTCTCCTCTCTCTCTCTCTCTCAACTTTAGCAATGGATCAATTATGGGAAAGGATAAAGGATTGTGCTTATGTGGTATTACTTATTAGGGAAGATTTTCTTTGGTTTTTGACTGATGCAATAGGATTTGATTTGTATCAATTGCTATTCTTGCTCATTATTCATTTTATTCGTATTGAAAGACAAGTGAGCAGAGTCATTGAGACCCAAAAAAACTCCAAATCAAAAAATTCCCTCATTTAAAAAAGGAAATTTCAAGAAAATATGGAATATGGAATGCTACATAAATTATGTGTAAAGAACCTTGGGATACACCACCCCAAAAGCTAGCTCAAAGGGTGGGAGTGCCCAAGACCTTATAAACTCCACATTAGTTGCACATACAACCAATGTGGGACTATATATCTCAACACGCCCCCTCACACGAGAGCCCATTGGGCTTGAAGAGTGGACAATGCAACAGGCCCAGCCTATCTGCGCTAAGAAACGCCACAAGAGAAAGTGGGGGGCGGCGAGGCTCTGATACCATGTAAATAACCTTGTGATACACAATATGATTAGATATGATTAGATATGATTAGTCTGTAATTATTCTGATTGTATTAGGTCTGGGCCTTTCCTATAAGCCCATTAGAGTCTCTATATATTGTAACTCTCTGAATTAGATCAATACACAACATTATTTTATATTCAAGTTGGTACCAGAGCTCTTCTTTCGTTCTGGGGACCCTCGCTTCTGCTTAGAAACCTTGTTTTCGCCTTAAAACCTAAGCCCACTGCTTAGGAGTCATCCTTTCTTTGCCGTGCATCCTTCCGGCAAGACATCAAGGACCGTAAGTCCCTTCCGAGCAATTTCCGAACGCGTCAGCACCTCCGACGGTCACCGGAACCACCATCCGCCACCGTCAGCCACTGTTCAGGCCGCCGGAGCACTTTTCCGGCGAGTTTTCAGCTTGGTCAGCACGCGATCAGAACCCCCTTCCTCCGGCGACCTACTCTGCAGAAGGCCCATCATCGGCGGCCAAGTCACGCGCCCTCACGCGCGACTGAGCTTCTCTGCCCGTGGTCCTCATGCGCCGCCTCTCACCGGCGTGTGAGCACTGTTCTGGTGGCTTTTTCCGGCCACTCCAAGACAAAACAGCTCGCCTTCCTCCCCTCTTCTCCGATCTGGTCTTCATTCGTTGTGGGTCTCGTCTGTTCAGAAGATATCAGTGATTCTTTGCTTTCCGGTCATTGTTTCAAGTGCTGTGCATTCTTATTTTTTGATATCAGTGATAACCCACTGTTCATCGTCATTATTCATAGTGCTGGAATTTTCTATTTGAGTCTGTTTTATTTTTATTTGGTAATCTGTGTTTATTTGGTCCTTTTATTTGTTTCTGGTCATCTTTATTTAAATTTTTGATGGAGGGCACATACAAAAATTAGTACTGGAGTCATCTCCAGTACTACCCCATCCGTTACAACAATGAAACTGACCGGATCTGCTACTTACAAGACCTGGTCTACCTCAGTAAAGATCTGGTTTACTGGTCAGGGGCACGGCCCACATCTCACAACTAAGTCTGCCGATATTTCAAAAGACAAGACATCTGAATGGGACAAGATTGATGCTCAACTGCTAAGTATCCTTTGGCAGTTCATTGATCGGACGATTATAGACATTTTCATCTCCTTTGAGACCTGCTATGACGTATGGGAGGAAGCTAAAAACCTCTACACCAATGACATTCAGCAGCTTTATTCAATTGTGTCTCAGATAATGGAATTGCGCAAATCTCCAGTGTCTCGAATGGAAACTTATATTGGTAAGATACGTTCTTTGATGCAAGGGAAAAGTTAAGGATTCGTAATCCTTTTGAAAATTAAAAATCGAATGGATTCTTGGCTATGTTACCTCATGCTGCAGATGCCTCTGCGTACAAGAAGCAGGTGAAGCGCTTCTTTATGGTCATAACTCTCTCCGGTCTTTCTGAGGAGTTAGAAAGTGTTCGTGAGAATATTCTAACCAGTGCTGAGACTCCTAGCCTGTCACACACTTTCCAACGCCTTCTGAATCTTAAGGACAAACCAACAGCTCCCACACATGTGCCAGCTACCGATTCCACTGCATTCTTTTCTCGCTCCAATGATTCTTGGAACAGTGGACGCGGTCGCGGACGTGGCCATGGACAGGGTGGCCGCGGACAGAGGCCTCGTTGCAATTATTGCCAGAATCTTGGACATTTTGAAGAACGCTGCTACAGGAAGTACCCTCACTTGAAACCACCGACTGCTAACTTTGCTCAGACTGATGTTGCACCACCTCCTACTGGATCAGTAACTCTTTCCAGTGCCGAATATGAGGCACTTCTCAAGAAGGTTTCCTCTCAGCATCCTACTCAAGACACTGATAATCATGTTGCTTGCCTTTCTCAATCATCTCTTGGACCCTGGATAATAGACTCAGGTGCTACTCATCACCTTTGTGGTAATAAGGATCTTTTCAGTTTCCTTTCTTATTCTAATAATTTACCCTCTGTTACTCTTGCTAATGGTACTAAGGCTCCTGCTCATGGAATTGGGGAAGCCAACCCAACTCCTTTTTTAGCTTTGACCTCTGTTTATTATATACCCGGCATTCCTTTTAATTTAATCTCTGTTAGCCAGTTGATTCAGTCTCTTTCATGTACTGTTACCTTCTCTAAACAATCTTTCTCTATGCAGGATCCGAGTACGGGGAAGACGATTGGAGCGGGCATTGAGTCACGAGGTCTTTACTATCTGATTACACCACCTTCTCCAGTAGCATGTTCTCTCACAGAGTCTCCTGAGCTAATTCACAGTCGTCTGGGTCATCCAAGCCTTTCCAAGCTTCAGCATATGGTTCCTTTTTTGTCTAGTCTTAAGTCTTTAAATTGTCAGTCTTGTCAGCAAGGAAAGCACACTCGCTCCTCCTTTGCTAATAGAGTCAATAAACGAGCTGATGCTCCTTTTTCTATTGTTCATTCTGACATTTGGGGTCCGAGTCGAACAATGTCTGTTTTGGGTTTTCAGTATTTTGTCACCTTTATTGATGATTTCTCTCGTTGTACTTGGGTTTATTTAATGAAAAATCGTTCTGAATTATTTTCAATTTATCAAAAATTTTATGCTGAAATAACTACTCAGTTTGGTGCTTCTATTCAAATCTTGCGCAGTGATAATGCAAGAGAATATGTGTCTTTTGAATTTTCTAATTTTTTGGAGAAACGTGGAACGATACACCAGACCACTTGCCCACACACTGCACAACAAAATGGAGTGGCCGAACGTAAAAATAGACATCTGGTTGAAACTGCACGTACCCTACTAATTCACATGAATGTTCCACTCCGTTTTTGGGCAGATGCTATAATCACCTCTTGCTTTCTCATCAATCGCATGCCCTCTTCCGTACTTAATAATGAAGTTCCACATAGTGTTTTATTTCCAGGAGCATCTTCCTATCCTCTACGTCCACATGTATTTGGATGTACGTGCTTTGTTCATGATCTTACTCCAGGTAAAGATAAGTTAACATCCAAAGCTTTCAAGTGTGTTTTCGTTGGATACACTTGTTTTCAAAAGGGGTATCGTTGCTACTCTTTTAATCTCAAGCGTTATATTGTTTCAGCTGATGTCACTTTCCTTGATCAACAACCTTTTCATTCTATCTTGTCTCAGATAACACAGGTTGATCATGTTCTTCTTGTTCCTTGTCTTGATTTGTCTTTACCAGTTGCAGGTGACTATCCCGGAGGAGCTACCCCCTGCCTCCATCCCTGAGGACCGTCCTTTTCTCACCTATCAGCGTCGTCAGCCTGCGCCTCCAGCAGATTTGACTCTTACTGACTCACCGCCTGCTCCAGTCGACTCTTCCCCTCCGGATCCTCCATCAGAGATTACTCCCATTGCCCTTCGCAAAGGTATTCGATCCACTCGCAACCCTCATCCACTTTATAGTTTCTTGAGTTATGATAGACTTTCTTCACCACATTTTACTTTTGTTTCTAGTATTTCGTCTGTTTCTATTCCTAAAACCACAAGTGAAGCACTATCTCATCCGGGTTGGCGTCAGGCGATAATTGATGAAATGCAAGCACTTCACTCCAATGGCACCTGGGATCTTGTTCCTGCTCCTCCCAGAAAATCAGTAGTCGGCTGTCGATGGGTATTCACTGTCAAAGTTGGTCCTGATGGCACTATTGATCGCCTCAAAGCTCGTTTGGTGGCCAAAGGTTACACTCAGATATTTGGTCTTGACTATGGGGATACTTTTTCTCCTGTTGCCAAGATGGCATCCGTCCGCCTATTTCTTGCCCTTGCTGCTGTTCGTCACTGGCCACTCCTTCAACTTGACATCAAAAATGCCTTTCTTCATGGTGATTTGCAAGAAGAAGTTTACATGGAGCAACCACCTGGTTTTGTTGCTCAAGGGGAGTCTGGACAAGTGTGTCGTCTTCAAAAATCCTTATATGGTCTCAAGCAGTCTCCTCGAGCATGGTTCAGTCGCTTCAGTTCTGTTGTTCAGGCGTTTGGCTTAATCCGCAGTAAAGTTGATCATTCTGTATTTTATAGGATTACATCTCCTGACAAGTGCATCTATTTGTTAGTCTATGTTGATGACATCATTCTCACCGGAAGTGATCAAGACGGAATTCGTCAGTTAAAACAGCATTTATTCAGTGCATTTCAAACAAAGGACCTTGGGAAGCTGCGTTACTTCTTGGGAATTGAGGTGGCGCAATCTAGACAGGGCATTTCTATTTGTCAAAGGAAGTATGCCTTGGATATCCTCGAAGAAACTGGTATGTTGGGGAGTAAACCAGTTGATACACCCATGGATCCTAATGTCAAGTTATTGCCCGGACAGGGGGAGCCGTTATCTGATCCTGGACGTTATCGGAGGCTAATTGGGAAGCTCAATTATCTTACTGTGACTAGGCCAAATATTTCTTTCGCTGTTAGTACGGCTAGTCAGTTCCTTGATTCTTCTTGTGATTCACATTGGGATGCTGCTGTGAAGATCCTCCGATACATCAAAGGAGCACCAGGAAAAGGTTTGTTGTATTCAGATCAGGGAAATACAGAAATTTGTGGTTATTCAGATGCTGATTGGGCAGGACCACCCTCGGACAGGCGCTCTACTTCCGGCTATTGTGTCTTCTTTGGAGGAAACCTAATTTCGTGGAAGAGCAAGAAACAACCTGTAGTTGCTCGGTCTAGTGCAGAAGCTGAGTATCGTGCAATGGCAAATAGTACCTGTGAGTTAATCTGGTTAAAGCAGTTGATTCAGGAACTTCATCTTTGTGAACAGAAACAACCCATGACACTCATCTGTGATAATCAAGTTGCGCTACATATATCCTCTAATCCTGTCTTTCATGAGAGGACCAAACATATAGAGATTGATTGTCACTTCATTCGAGAAAAGATTCAATTAGGAGAAATCAAGACTGCTTTCGTCAACTCTTCTGATCAACTCGCGGATGTCTTCACTAAAGCTCTTAGAGGTCCTCGGGTTCAATCCATTTGTAACAAGCTTGGTGCTCACAATATATACGCACCAGCTTGAGGGGGAGTGTTAGATATGATTAGATATGATTAGTCTGTAATTATTCTGATTCGTCAACTCCTCTGATCAACTCGCGGATGTCTTCACTAAAGCTCTTAGAGGTCCTCGGGTTCAATCCATTTGTAACAAGCTTGGTGCTCACAATATATACGCACCAGCTTGAGGGGGAGTGTTAGATATGATTAGATATGATTAGTCTGTAATTATTTTGATTGTATTCTGATTGTATTAGGTTTGGGCCTTTCCTATAAGCCCATTAGAGTCTCTATATATTGTAACTCTCTGAATTAGATCAATACACAACATTATTTTATATTCAAGTTTATGGATCGGAGAGTTATGTAAGGAGTTTCTTGTTTTTGTCTTCTTGATACTGCCCCTTGTCATTACTTTTCGTTGTCTGTGTTTTGATTTTTTTATTTGTGTCAGGTTTTCATAACGATACAAATGAACAGTGGGTTCACATTGATACATTTTCAGCCATGAATGGGATATCTCGCTTTGGCGAAAGTGATTTCCCATGGAGGTATATTTTCATTCTTTCTTTTATAGTACACTTGGATGCAGCAAGATAACTCTTGCATGAATCCAAACAAACATTTATTTGACAAAAAGCTCATTCTTGTAGAGCAGTGAAGACGTGCCTTTCTTAGCCTTTGGCTATGCTTCAGTAACCAAAGAAAATTACAGTTCTCCAATTTTACTTATTTATTCTTTGTCCTACTACGAATTAGATTAACTATATTTATGTTCTAAAATTTTGTTTTCAAAATTATAATCAGAATCACTCCTTTGATCCTTTCGCCTAGTAATGAATTGATTCAGAGTAAAACTTCATTAAACTTCTCCAACATACTTATTCATTGTATCCTCCTTTCTTGCACATCCGTGGTTTTTTTGTTTCTCCTCTCCTCCGGATAAAGGATAGGAAATTTTTTTTTTTATTTAATTTAGTAAACTGTATTTGAGTGTGACCTTAGCTGCCCTTCTTTGCAAAATTCCAATTCTGCTCCTCTCTGCGTCTTCATCAACCAATACAGCATGTATGATTAAGCTAAAAAAATGTTGGAATTCCATGAATGAGGCTGCAATCCATTATTGCTGGTCACCTTCAAGTATACCATAATATCTTTCATTCCTCCCGACAAGAGTTCCAGCAGATCAAACCAATTTGTTAGGAACCTTAAAACAGAGTTTGAAATAATTTTGGGGAGAACAAGGTGAGAAACGGAGGAAATTCTAAGAGAAAGAACTTTTCTGTATTGATTTACTGAATCACAAACAAATGACATAGGAAGGAAAGAAAACTACTCCGAGAGTTTCCCGTACAGTTGAGCTATTGCTTTGTTTTTCCAAACTAACGAATATGAATCCCTCTCTTCTACCCTCTGGTGCTAAACTAATTTTCTAACTGTGACAACTTTAACCGCCCAAAAATAGCTATTCTAACTAACTACTACTCTCTGTTCCCATCATTAAGTTGCTTTTACAATAATATCTGGTGCAGGTATTCTAAAGAAGAACAAATTAGCTTGCAAGAATTTCAGCAGAGAAATTTTACCTTTCTTATAAAGTGAGTGAAACATATCAGTGGTGTTATTTCCTGTACTTTGCTTGACAAGCATATAAATTGTATGGCGCATGCTTTGTTTATTGTGAGAGATGACGTAAAGTGTCAGTATTGTCAAGTGAGATGTGCATGGAATAAAATTGGTAAATTTGGTGCGTCGGATCCCTTTGAGGAGTTTGTGCTATTGGAAAGGACAGTATCTGTAAGTGTCGTGTGGGTAATGGTCATAATAATGACATTGGGCACTTGGATAAATAAATTTTACTTATTACTTCTGTAATCTTCATGCGCTTGTGTGTGTAGAAGTGCAACTGTTAAGAGAGATGAATTCTGGAAGTGGAAGTTTATGTATAATTTTATATGTCAATGCACTGACTTATTAAAAGGGATTTTCCTTTATATCTGATCTCCATCTTGTTGATCTTTAACAGTGAACATCCTGCGATCCATGGATTTAAGTGTCTATTTACTGAAGATGGGTTCTCAAAAATCCACATTAAATATGGCTTTCCTCCAATTTTATTGGTCAGTAGTTGCAATTCGCAACCAGCTCGAACAATGAATGCTTTGTAACTTCCAAAATTGTTTATCTTAGTTTTGACCCTTTGCAGGTTAAAGAGCCCAAAGTGTACGTCCACGGAAATTTAGAAAACAAGGATGTTGTCAACAAAAATTGGCCTGGCTGCCCATAACCCTTTGTGTGGTATGATAGTCTCTTTGAAATTCATCAGGTTTGAAGGGTGTTGTTTTCCTTGTGTCCCTTTTTTTATATATTACCGACGGGGATCGGATGGTAATATATATATATATATATATATATATAGTTGGCCTTGTAGCATCTCAAACATTGATTTCTCTGTGAAATAGCTATATCCGATTTTTGAATTATGCAAAGCAGGTTCACACTTGTTCAACAATCTGCTTTGGAATAACTTCAGAATCTTTATTCATCTGCTAATAAGTCTTTGATCTATTTATGTCGGAAAAAAACTTTTTGCTTCAAATAATTGCCAATAAATATTCTTCAAGGGATATTACTTTTACTTAAATTGTTCATTGCTAATTTTGTATAACTGCTACTAGAAGGTTGTTGAGCAATTCTTGTAATTGGTGTGTTCGCCCAAGGTATACAATGTTAATAGAGCAGAGCTTTCATCAATAGTATATGGTTTTAACTGCTTAAGGCTGGCTTGTTTGCTGGGTTATATAAAGTTAATTATTGTATTAAATTCGAAGGTTGGAGCTACTTAGCCAATTAGAAAGCATCAGGTTACTGCTATAGCAAATAGGAAGTCCTTACTATTTATGTTTATGTAGTTAAATCTCTGCTTTATCGTCATAACAGCCTTTTCATTTATGCTTTTCACTGCTCTTGACATGTAGAGTTTGGCATGGGGGCGTGGAAGGATGAAGCTAGGTCTAACATGTATGGCGATGTTCTATAAGCATCCAAGATTCCGAGCAACTTGTAGTGCTTGTTTTTCTCTTGTTGATGCATGTACTCTTCAGGGAATTGTTTAGTTTACAATACTATTGATTAACATAACATTTAGCAACAATTATCATAAACGACCAGACCACAAGAACAGAGAGAGCTAACGGAACGTGGGGAATTTATTTTTGGTTAAGCAATTATGAAGAGAATATGCGGTCTTCCTTGAACATATGCAGTCTTCCTTGAACATATGCTTTTCTATTTACAGCAAACGGGATAGTCTTAAATGTTAAGTCTATAACATGCCTGATTGGTATACCCAAAGTAAATGTTATTTAAATTCATGTATATTCTTATTTCCTGCTATGGAAACCATTTCGGACTTTATACAGATAGTCTAATATTATGGTCTGAATTATCAACACACAGTATGAATTTGGGTCGAAATTATCCTATAAATTTAGGCCATTGAACCTATAATTCAGGATGTATTGATGGTTATAGCCTGCAAATTCTACCGATGAATACCTAATAGTTAATGCCATATTATAACTATCATATGTTATTACTACATATTATCATAATAAATATTTATGTATTAAATATCTTATATTTATTTACGTATCAAAATGTGGCACTGATTAACCATCAGCGAATATATTAGCCTATTCATATTGTATAATATTTGTGAGTTATAGATATTGTAAATAATATACGATTAGAGACTAATAATATTGACGATTACCGCTCGTTAATATTGTAAATTGGTCTGTAATCTCTTCTTCCGAAATGTCGAAAGCCAAGCTCCATAATTGAAGATTAATTTTACACTGAGAAGATATTTGGTACGTTTTATTCTCTAAGATTTTTAGAAAATTGAATTTTTTTAAATTTTAAATTTTTGGATATTAACGTAAATTGAATGTAAAAATTATATTTTTAAAATTTGAGATTCTCGAATAAAAAAAAAAATTTCCTCTGTCAAACACTCCCGAAGTGTAGGCAGTGGAGACCTGATTTTTCTTTGGTTGGTGAGCTCAGCGATGAGTTATTGTTTGAAGTGACCTTTGATGATTTTGTTGAATTGACAGATGCGAGACTTGAGAAGCCTATGCTAAAAAAAGACAAGCAAAACTTTTGCATGACCAGGTATTTAGACATATCGGGAACATTGACCATTTTGTTATGCCTGGTAAAAATTTTATCGAACTGTCACGCCAACAGTAAATTTTATTAAAATGTCACACGGTATATTTCGCTACACTGTGTAGCGAAATATGTTTGCATATAATTCGCTACACAGTGTAACGAAATATGCTATGTCAGGATGCGCAGTCAGCAAAAATGACACGTGTCAAGCAGGTAGAATTCAAGCATAATTCGTTATACAGTGTAGTGAATTTCTACCTGCTTAACACATGTCATTTTTGCTGACTGTGCAGCCTGACATGGCATATTTCGCTACAGTGTGTAGCGAATTATATGCAAACATATTTCGCTACACAGTATAGCGAAATATGTCGCGTGGTATTTTTGCAAAATTTATCGTTGGCGTAGCAGTCTGGTAAATTTTTTGCTAGGCGTGACAAAATGATCACTCTCCCGACATACTGAACAAGAAATTGAAAACAAAAACTGGGATAACGACGATTTTGTCACCTTTTAGTAAAAAATTTGTCGAATTGTTATGTCAGGAAGATTTTTTGTCAAAATGACACGTTACATTTTTGCTACACCACCCAGCGAGAATGGACTGGACATGTGACAGCACTTGCATAGTCAACCATTTTCGTTAAGCAGCCTAACTAAAATGACAGGATGTTGAAACATGACAAAAGTACAAACATCATTTGCAAAAGCTGTTTGGGTGACTAATCTCGCTATACTGCCCAGTAAAAATACTTGTACTATTATCATATGTTAACATCTTGTCATTCTAGTTAGGCTGCTTAGCAAAAATAATTGATCATTCAAACACTACCAGATGTCTAATCCATTCTTGCTAAGGAACATAGAGAGAATGTGACATGACATTTCACAAAATTTTATTAGAGCTTAACATACCGATATTTTTTTTGTCACGACCGTGTCAATATGATCAATATCCCACAAAAACCCCCCAAAAGTACTCAGACATGATCAGATTGATGGTGAAAGTTACGTTTGCATGGCTCGAGGCAAGGTACCTTGTCATATTTGCCCTATACGCAATAACCCTACTCAACAGTTAGCGTCTTTAAGAAGATTAATGATATTAATAATTTATGCATTCATATATATTTTTATTACAATATTAAATTCAAGCTTGTGTACCCCACGGTTGTTGCATATATTAAGCCTCTTGGACTTCATAATCATCGGCAAGATTCACTTATTTAGAAGTGGGACAGAACCCATAATTTCTTCATGTTCAAACGATGGCCGATCGGATTAGCACGTTGCCTGCTTCTGTTCTCTGCCACATTCTTTCTTTTCTACCAACCAAACAAGTTGTTGCAACTAGTGTTCTTAACAAGACATGGAACCCTCTCTGGCGCTCAGTCTCCACTCTAGACTTTCACTTTCAAAATTTAAACAAAGAGAAGTGTTCCCGCTTCGTTCAGTGGGTGAATGAAGTTATCCTGTCACGAGATTTACATCAACCTATCCAAACCTTCCGCCTCTGGTGTCAGTGTCGGTCTTTTAATTATGATCCCAGAATTATCAACATGTGGGTTAATGTTGCACTACAACTCAGAGTTGAGCACCTCGACCTATCTCTGTTTTCAGCTAGGATTCGGCCTATCAGCTTGTCTTGTGCCATTTTAAGACACAGAACCCTCGTTGTGCTCAAGTTGAATGTATTAGGACTCAAATCTATTTCGTCCATTGATTTACCCTCACTTAAAGTCCTGCATTTGAATAAAGTTACTTTTTTAGAAGGTAGATATCTCGCTGAACTTCTTTCTGGGTGTCCAGTTCTTGAAGATTTGGTAGCTAAAGATTTGTATTTTGATAAACGTTGCCCGATATCATTAAGTTATAGAGAGTTTAAAAGACTACCCAAGTTGGTCAGAGCTGATATTCATAAACGTTATGTTCCTCTACTAATACTTGATAACGTGGAGTTTTTATGCATTGATAAGGTATTGAAAAACAGATTTATGTATAGTCACTTTTCATTTTTAAGGGAAATGGTATATCTGACAATTGTTGTCTCTTGCAGGAGTATCCTCGGTATAATGTGATTGTTGACAGATATAAGAACCCGAATCCCTATCCCAGAGATCTTATCCCAGTGTTTCACAATCTAGTCCATTTTGAACTCACCTTTTTTTGTTATACTATGAGTTGGCTTCATGTGCTACGATTGCTCATTCATTGCCCCAAGCTTCAAATTCTTATTATTAATCAGGTTTGTTATGTTTAATCCTTTAAGAATTATTTCTAAGTTCTCATCTTTTTCTAAAACATTATTTATTTTAGAGAATATTTTTTTTTTTTTTCTTCTTCTGCCCTCGCATTAAAGTGATGGTGGGTTCCTCTTAAAATAGAAAGAGGAAAAATGGTTTCCATCGTTTTTTATATGAACGCAAGAGATAAAATTTTCTTATCTCCGCACCGAAGAGATAATCCCTATAATTTTACGGGGTTTGATTTTCTCACGATAATTCTCATGTTGTAGAGATAAAAAATATGTGGGACCTAGATGTTAGAAAAAATTATATGTAGGACCCATAACAGCACGAAAATCAAAGGGTGTGTAGGAAAATTTGAATTCTCGTGATAAATGAGAATTATAAAACCATAATATTATTTCATGTCTATTGTGAACAGGATTTTCACTATGTTTCTGATTACTGTATTTAATTTTTTTTTTTTTGACGTATAATGTTTTGATTGTGGTGACGTAGAATGAGGTTTTCTTATTCGTTTTATCTCACGTCTATTATTAATAGGACTATAACTTCGTCTCTAATTATGAAGAGAGAGGTTGGCGATGCCCGCCTTCTGTTGTTCCTAAATGCATTCCATTACCTCTTAAAACATGTCATCTAAATAATTACAAAGGCTCAAAAGGTGAAGTTCAATTTGCAAGATATGTGATGCAAAATGCAAGCATTTTACGAACCATGAAAATCTGTGTTAATGCTGAAAAAATTGGAGAAGAGCTCAACAAGATCGAGATGCTGAAAGTGTTATCCTCATGCACAAGGTGTTCTCCAACTTGTGAACTTTCATTTGAAATAATATAGGATAGATGGGAATTGATTAGGGACAAAGTATTTCCTTAATATCAGCCTTTTCATTTGGAGCTGTAAGAATGTGGAACTTGTTTGAGATTAGAGACAAAGTTTTTTGTTTTTTATGAATGTAAGTGGAGTTGCTGTGTACCCATTTTGTGGCAATTATATGTTAAATTCTGATCTTATGCATAAGTACTGGAATGATAAGTTTTGAATTGTAAATTTGTGTTACCATCATGTCAGGTTTTTTTTTTTCCTCACACAAGCATGCGCACACTCAAAAAGGAATGTTTTATAATCAGTTTTGTAGGATTAATGCTTTGATTGTGGTACAGGTATCTCAACCAAATTCGGTCAGAAGTTAGCTTCTTAGGTTACATCAGTTTATCATAATCATAAAGGATTCTAAATAACACGCAGTATTTAGATCACTAAAATGAGGTTAATTAGCTTGTATAATGAGGTTAATTAGCATTACAAATTTGAGAAGTATAGTACAGGCTTTAACGAAGAGGAGTGATTATAAATGTTTTGTAACTATGTACATTGCAAGATCGTTCCACACCATGTAAATTGTTAAAATTGAAGTTCTAATTTTACTCTCTCTGCTTTCTTCTAGAATTAATTTCCTTTCGCTGTTATAGCAGATTTCCTATTCTAATTTGGGTAGTAGGTATACTGAAATCATTTAAATTATTGATTAGAGGATAACAATGGAATTTTGCATGATAGGATGTTTTCATCACTACCGTATTTTGATTATTTGAGTTTTATTTCTCATATATTACGTAAATGAAATTTTATCTTTTAATCTCACTTTGATTTTTGTGCTACTTCTTATTTTATTTTATTTTTCTTTTTTAAATAAAGTGGGTCTCATAATTTGTTATGAGAATAGAAGAAAAGATTTATCTTACGTAAGAAAAATAAAACCTTGATTATTTTCTTAAAATCAGAATTATTTTTATTTTTCGCATATACTAGAGTTTGTTATAATAGAGCAATTCTTGTAATTGACAATGTGTTCACATTTTGACGTTGAATCAAAATATTCCACACCTCAATCAAGTCGCAATAAATCTAATTATTTTCAGGCGAGTCAGTGTTAAACGAGACACATAAGTAGAATATATACTAGAAGGTTGATGAGCAATTCTTGTAATTGGTGTGTTGGCCGTTGGCGCAAAGGTATACACCGTTACTAGAGCAGAACTTTCTCACCAATAATATATGGCTTAACTGCTTATATGGCTGGCTTGTTTGTTGGATTACATGAAGTTAATGATTATATTAAATTCGAAGGTTGGAACTACTTTGCCAATTAAAAAGCATCATGCATTTTATTTACTGCTATAGCAAATTGGAAGTCCTTACTTTGCATGTGGGTTTACCTTTTTTGTGATTTTTTTTATTTTAATTTCACTTTTTTAAAGCGAGAGACGGTGAGGCTCTGATACCATGTTAAGAACCTTGAGGTCACCACCCAAAAAGCTAGCTCTAAGGGTGGGAGTGCCCAAGGTCTTATAAAGGCCATATTAGTTGTCCATCCAATCAATGTGGGACTATATATCTCAACCATATCCCAAGGTTCTTTACATGGTATCAGAGCCTCACCGTCCCCCGCTTTAAAAAGTGAAATTAAAATAAAAAAAGCACAAAAAGGTAAACCAAAAATGGGCCTGTGCAATTTCCACGCTTCTAGCCTAAAGAGCTCTTGCGTGAGGGGGCGTGTTGAGATATATAGTCCCACATTGATTGGATGGGCAACTAATATGACCTTTATAAGGCCTTGGGCACTCCCACCCCTTGAGCTAGCTTTTGGGATGATGTATCGCAAGGTTCTTTACAGTTAATGTTATCCCGTGGTTATCCCGTGTTTGCTGTAAATAAAAAAGCATATGTTAAAGAAAGACTACATATTCTCTTCATAATTGCTTACCAAAAAATAATTTCCCCACGTTCCATGCTCTCTATTTGTTCTTGTGGACTGGTCGTTTGTGATATTTGTTGCTAAATATTATGTTAATAGTTTTCGGGTTAAATGAATGTAATGTTACACGAAAGCAAGAAGTTGTCCTGTAGATCGATTTCCGTGTTTTCAGTTTTTCTTTTTCTTTTTTTTACAAGGAGTCAACAAATTTTCCTACACACACAACATTTTGTAAGACCCACACTTTTTGAAGAAAAAAGAAAAAGAAAAAATTATGGCACGCAAAACGAATCTCTATAACATTACACAATCACTTTTCCTATAACATAACTCTTATAAAACCCTTTTTACAAATATGTGGGTCCCATGATTGTTTTGTGTCAACAAAAATTTGTTTTTTTTCCTGTGACATGATGCTAGCTTAACCCCTTTAGTTTTCTCAAATAAACATTTCCACGAAGCTTACAGGCAACAATGAGTGAAAATCAAGCACTAGAAGTTGTTGGAATTTATATATATATATATATATATATATATATATATATATATATATAAATTGTGTAGACAATCTATTGGTTATGAATAAGAAGTTTGGTAGTGAAAAGGTGTGCCTTTTCGTCGACAAACAGATGTATCTTTTCATCCTAAAGGATGTGTTGTTTCATCTTAACGGACATGTTGTTTCATCCTTGAATGGGTGTCTTTTCGTGTTGAACGAATGTGTCTTTTCGTGTCGAACGAATGTGTCTTTTCGTGTCCAAAGGATGTGTTGTTTCATCGTCGAATAGGTGCCTTTTGGAACGTGACTTTACGTTGTCTATAAATAGACAATGACACCTTCAGAAAATGGATCCAATTTTCTGCACTGAAACTCTGCCGGAATTTTTCTCCTTCCGATTTTGCATATTCCTTTTCATACTCCGATGTGACTTCCTCTGACATATTGTTGTGTTCGTTTGGGTTGTTGATTGGTAGTGCCGCCATTCTTCAGACGAAATCCGTTCTATCTTGGGAGACAAGTGTCCATCAACCTTTGGCATCAGTGAGGGGGAAAATTGTCTTAAGGAGACATGTTCTGTGGGCTCGGATTTATTCTTCTGATTCTGCATATCTCAATCCTCTGATATCGTCATCTGTCTATTTCATCATTTTGTCTCAATTATCTAACAAGTAAGTCTGTTCTTTAATTTTATAATTGCACAGTGATAATTATGATAATCTACCTCCTCTGCTTTATACATGGATTCAAATCTCTTAGTGATATAAAATCACCCACTGTCTTCAATAACAATCTTAAGACCCCCTATGAAATATGAAAAGGTAGGGAGCCTACCTTGAATTATCTTGAAGTGTGGGGGTGTTTGACAAAGAGCATACCATACGACATATGGAAAGGAAAGAAGCCATCCCTGAAATATTTTAGAGTGTGGGAGTGCTTGGCTAAGGTTGCGGTTCCTAAACCTAAGAGGTTGAAAATCGGACCTAAAATCGTGGATTGTGTATTCATCGGTTATGCACGTAATAGTAGTGTTTATCGGTTTCTAGTTTATAAATCTGATGTCTCAGACATACAAGTTAATACGGTTATTGAGTCAAGGGAAGTTACTTTCTTTGAAGACGTATTTCCGTATAAGAAAATACAAGAATCAAATGGTAATAATGATGACCAGGTTGTAATACCTCAGGATGCTACAACTAATATTGATCATGTAGAGAATGTAAAAGATGAACCTAGACGTAGCAAGAGGCAAAGGACCGCCACATCCTTTGGACATGATTTTATGACATATTTATTAGAAAATGAGCCTCGAACGTCTAAGGAAGCTATAACGTCCCCGAAAGGACCATTCTGGGAAGAGGCTATCAATAGTGAGATAGAGTCTATCTTGTCCAACCACACTTGGGAATTGGTAAATCTTCCTCCTCGCAATAAGCCTTTAGGAAATAAGTGGGTGTTCAAAAGAAAAATGAAAGAGAATGACATTATTGATAAATATAAAGCTAGGCTTGTGGTAAAAGGCTACAGGCAACGTGAAGGTCTCGATTATTTCGATACTTATTCACCTGTTACAAGGATCATATCCATTAGGACGTTGATCGCGGTAGCTGCATTGAATGGATTAGAAATACATCAAATAGATGTTAAAACTGCCTTCTTGAACGGCGACCTGGAAGAAGAAATATATTTAGAACAACCTGAAGGTTTCGTTGTTCCAGGACAAGAACAGAAAGTTTGTCGCTTAATAAAATCCATTTACGGGTTAAAGCAAGCTCCAAAACAATGGCATGAAAAATTTGACAAAGTTATGTTGTCAAATGGTCTTTGAATTAATGAATGTGACAAATGTGTCTATGTTCGAAATACTGAAAAAGGATTTGCCATTGTCTGTCTTTATGTAGACGACATGTTGATCATGGGTAGTAATAATCAAATGATTAAAGCTACTAAACAATTACTTAATAATAAGTTTGATATGAAAGATATGAGGATAGCAGATGTTATCCTAGGTATTAAAATCCATAGAACATCTGCAGGGTTGGTCTTATCATAGGCTCACTATATAGTTAAGGTTCTTGAGAAATTCAAAAGTTTGAATATAACTCCTGTGAGGAACCCTGTAGATTCAAATCTTAGTTTATTAAAGAACACTGGTAAAGCTACAACACAAAAGCTATATGCTCAAGTGTTAGGAAGCCTGATGTATGTTATGAACTGCACCAGACCTGATATTGCTTATGCAGTAAGTCTGTTAAGTCGCTTTACCAGTAATCCAAATGAAAATAATTGGAAAGCTATGGTAAGAGTTTTGGGATACTTGAAGTATACTCAAAATTATGCTTTGCATTACGAGAAATACCCTGCAGTTATAGAAGGGTATTGTGATGCAAATTGGATCACCGGCTCTAACGACACTAGATCTACAAGTGGATATGTGTTCACTCTTGGCGAAGGTGTTGTGTCTTTGAAATCGTCCAAACAGACTTGCATCGCAAGGTCAACCATGGAAGCAGAATTTATTGCTTTAGGTAAGGCCGGTGAAGAAGCTGAATGGCTTCGTAACTTTATTGAGGATGTTCC